CATGTAACAATCTATATTATATTGTCAAGTACATATACTTTTCTCTATTGCAAAATGGCAGTAATAAAATTAGCTGATGTAAAGGATAAGCACAATTTAATAGCTACTTTAAGTCACTCTTTACTCATAGGCCACTGTGTTATTTTATACTAATCTCACTATAACAATGTTAGTGTCTCTATGTTACAGTGCTATATAGCAGAAGATCTGAGATGACAATGTAAGGTTATCTACGCAGTCTTCTTCTATATGCGTGAGTTTTAAAAAAAACATGATAATTGGTAATGATAAAAAGTCTGGATGAGTACACATTATTATTGCAGATTTGTTTAGTTGTGAGCTTGGCTTACTTCTTGTAGCTGGAAGGTAAGCTTTGAAGACCAATCACAGGACTCCTGAGGGCTCCCTAAATGGTTTGCCGGCCAGTTCTAAATTGATTGTCATTTAACCTAGTGAACATTTACCGCTTTTGACAAACGATGAGTGAGATAACTCCTTTAAAGTCCTAGAAGCAAGAGCACCTTTTTAAATGCATACTTTAGTTTTAGAAGATTTGAGAGATAAGGCCTTGTCTATTTTTATCTGCTACATCAGTGATCTGCTGGTATTCAAGGACTGAAGCAAGCTTTTCCTGCTTCATGCTATTTATGCTAAAGGAGTGCATTTTATATTGTTGTTTGTTAACTACACTTACCTAATCAGGGCAGCTAATTTAAAATAACAGAAATGTATCCTGGCTTGTTTATTTGAAGCAAACACATAGCAATGTATGCATTTTTCTGTCATTAGAGTGTATTTTTTATAAATATATTATACGTTTTTTTGGGGGGTAGAGTATGGCTGTTTATAACTGCTATCTGAGATTTCCCTCCACTTTCTGTTATTTAGATCCAATAGGAAGTTGAAAGATATCTTTCCATATTCCTTCCTAGACAGTTGTCAGGGGAACAAGTGTATCTATTGGAAGATTTTCTCCTTTATTCCTGTTCTGGTGGCAACTCAAAATTTTGTGTTTACCCTCACTTTTATTCCCAATGACATTGCAGATCGAGAAGATTAGAGAAAGTAAATCTCCCCAGTAATAAAAACTCGACAGTGCTTCTAA